TTAATTAATTATTGATTTAGTTTTGTCTTGTTTCAAGTGTATGAAGATATTTGCACTAGACATTAGACCAAAATACTTGGTAAGATTTTGTGTTTTTGCAGTGTAGACAAAATGATAATTCATCCTTGATGCACCTGCAGATTCTTGGGCTTTTATTTTTGTCACCAAAGTTTCTAATTCGGCAGAATCTGAACAATAAGGACCAAGAAAGAAACGAGAGGAAGCAAACAGCTGAAAGCGGAGCCGCTATCTCAGGTCCCCGGCGGTGATTAGCGTTTCTGCGGAATTAGAAAACGCTTTAATTTAAAAACCATTTCATCACAGCAGCTTAACTTCAAAGTGGCATCAAATCCCAAAGGAGACAAATTTGTTTTTCCTTTAAATAATTCAAGTGTTCCAGCTGCAGAGCAGTCGAGTTACGATGAAATGGAAACTAGCCGAGCAACTTTACAGCGAGCCCAATCAGATGCTTCAGGAAACCACCACAGACACGCCCAGCGTTTCTCCTTCTTCTGAGCCAATCAGATCCATCCATCTCCAAACAGTTATTGTTACAAACCCTCCACAGCAGCAGCACCAGTACCGGGTCCAGTACCCAGAAAGTAAAGAGAAGCAACAAATTACTCAAGTTAGAGTAAAAAAATGTTTGGTGAAAAGTTTACTCAAGTGCTGAGTAACTGATGAAATGATCAGTTATTTAATATTGAAAAGTGACATCATCAGACAAAACAAAATATTAAGTTATTTTGGTGTTTTAAAGACAAACATGCTAATAATTCACATAGGTAACAAATAATAACAAAATCAGGCGACAGGTGAGTATAAAATAATGAAAGACGAATAGGTGGGACAACCTTTTATTGATTTGGAAAAATGTTATTATTTGTTTTTCACAGAGATGGGAAGAAACTAGTTACATTTACTCAGTTACATGTACTTGAGTAACCTTTTGAAAATATTTAGTGTTTACTTTTGTGTAATTTTATTATGAAGTATCTCTACTATTGCTTGAGTAAAGCTTTTAGATTCTAACCACTGAATGAAAAACATGTTTGAACCAAAAAACAAACACAAATCATCACCTTCCTGAACTTCCTGTTTTCTTTGTCGTTTCTGCCAGTAGTAACACCCTGCTGACGATCATGTGACTCGTGTGATGAAAAAAAAAATTGTTTCCTTTGCAGCTTTGCAAAATAAAAATATTTCAATAAAATGTCTCATTCAAACAAAAAAACATGAGTATTTTCAAGATTGCTGTTTCCATTAAGCAAATTTATTTTCATGACATGAATCATTTTAGCATGCTGTCGCTAACAATCTGGTTCGTGTGCCATTTTTGGGAGTTCAAGCTGTTTAGAGCCGACATGTCAAGTCAAAATAAAGTGAAGTTGTTTTTTCTTGCATTCAGGATCTGAATTGCTGAACGCTGATGTCATTAAATCCAGCGTTGTTCGTCTGACTCTGTATTTAAAGAACCACAGGAGTATGCGATTATGTGTTTTCACTGGAGGTTGTTGGGACAAAGTGGTGATAAAATCCAACATGCTCTTCATTCTGCTTTGTTCCCTGACCTTATTAGGACGTGTTGAGCGAGAGGAAAGCCACACACGTAATCCAGCAGGAGAGGATCGTGGGTACAAGTGTGTGAGTGGGAGGGAGGAGGGATTCAGAAAAACACGTCTCTTAAACCAACACATCCAGAGAGAGATGCTTGAAGTCATCAGCAGTCATTTCAAACAGCCTCACTGGTCTTCAGCTCCCCTTTGGTCGGCTCTCAGAAAGCCATTTACCACCCAAACCGCCCGCCAGTCATCCTTCACCTCTGCATCCAGGCAGAAGCCCATCATATAAACAAAACCTTCTACGGACGCAGAACTGACAGCTAGCATGAAGCAGGAAGTCAGTCTGTGAACCTGAGACACAACGAAGCCTAAAGATGATCTATTATGCTTCCTCAGGTATGTTCAAAACATGTTCCTGACATGTTTTCATGTTGTTCAAATGAAACCAGAAACCAGAGGCAGAATCTCACACCGGGGGTTTGATCCTCTGTCATTTAACACACATAATGGCCGCCAGCTCCTCCTAATGAAACACATTGATTTTGTCTCAGTCATTTCATCGCAGTATGCGCAGAGTGTGATGTGCATCAATCTGTTTTGTTCTGCTCATCAGAAGGAAAATGGGATTTTGCTGTGATAACCTCGGGAGAGCAGAGACGTTCTGGTTCTGGAGAGAGGCGGGTCATCGGTTGGGGTCTTCTTAGGTTCATTCAGAGGAACCAGTGAAATGGAAACAGGAAGGTCTCTGCAGCTGGAGGCGGTCCAGTTCTGAACCGGTTCAGATCTTACAAAAGAACTGGGAGAACTGGGATGTGGGGTTCCCCAAGGCTCCGTCCTGGAACTCCTCTCAGTCAACATGCATATGGCTCAAGTTATAAAACTAGATGACACACAGCTCTACATTATGACGTCACCAGGTGACCTTTGAACCCACCAAATCACTGAACAAATGCTGAGGACAGATAAATATGTGGATGCGCCGAAACTTTCTCCAGCTGAACAGAAACTGAAGTTTATATCTTTGGACCTAAAGAGGAACAATCTAGAGTTATAGATCTATGACCATAGATCTATAACCACAGATCTATGATTAATATAGATCTATAACTACAGATATATGATTATAGATCTAGACTAGAGTCAACGAACAGCTTCAGTTGTTAAAGCTAAAGTCTGCAGATCAGGCTGAACCTGAACATTCAGAGACACATAAATACAGTTACAAACACAGCCTTCCATCACCTGGAGAACATTTTCAGGATTACACTGCAAAACCACAAAACACTAAAATACTTATCAAGTTTTTTAGTGCATTTTCTAGTGCAAATATCTTAGTTTACTGGAAATAAGACAAACCTAAATTATAAGTAACTTTTCAGCCAGGAATATGAGCTTGTTTCAAGTGAATCATTCCTGAATATTGATGAAAATATTATTTAACAAGACATTTTTATGTTGCATATTAAGGCATTATTCTCTTAAATTAAGCTTTCTTTCTGAAAAGTTACTTATGAGTTAGTTCTGTCTTATTTCCAGTAAACTGAGATATTTACACTTGATACTGGACTAAAGTACCTGGTAGGATTTTGTGTTTTTGCAGTGTAGAGGACAAATGTCCCCGCAATATCCAGAGAAACTCAATCCTGTGTTTAACTTTAGTTCAGTTACTGCAGCAGCGTCTTTCCAGGACAGGTTAAAACTCCTTCAGAGTTGCTTTGAAACCATATTTTAAACTGAATTGCTGCTGAAATCTGTAACAGATTACATAAATGTTGAATTTTTCTTCTGTTCTTTGTCTAAATAATGAAAATTTAGGATCGCAAACTTTCCTCAGGAAATCTTTGGTTTATGTCTGAGTTCTTCCTCTCCAATAAAGTCAAACTTTCCTCAGGAGTCACATTGAATCCTGCATGAGAATCTCTGACCTTCTCATTCTGAATTACAGCTTCTCATGTTTTATGTTTCTGCCTGATAAATCAAAGAACCGGACAGAAATGGGAAGTTACTGTAACAGAAGTTCCTCTGCACTGGAAATACTGGAAAACCTCAATAATTACAGAACATTATCGTTCTACACTTTGCTGTAACTTGGTGAAGGTTTGGGGTAGATTAAAAAAAACATAAAAGATTGTTCCATTTAGGAAATTAGGAAAATAAATATTTTTAATATCAGGCTGACTCGTAATGAGATGAAAAAACTGGGATCGATTCATCTTTGGAAGCAGATACAGCTGGAGGAACAGTTGGTTAACCTGAGAGCTACACACACACACACACACACACACACACACACACACACACACACACACACACACACACACACCCACCCACCCACCCACCCACCCACCCACCCACCCACCCACACACACACACACACACACACACACACACACACACACAGCTTGTAGCGGCTCTCCGTTTCCAGGCCAGCGGATAGCGGCAGAAGCGCGGTGTTTAGTATTCAGAGCGGAGGGATGAACCCAGACAAGAGCTGGCTGCAGAAACAAAGCAGCCTCTCTGTGACTCAGTTGTTCATGCATAAACACTCTGATCCTCACTGCTTCTCACCAGCAGCCTGCGTTTGTGTGTGAACGGATGACTGACCATGCATTCACACCTTACAGTCTGGTAGACTCGGTTCTATTGGGACCAAAGTTTCACCATCTGTTCCACCTCCAGCTGCTGTGGCTCTGAATCAAACCAACCTGTTCCCCTCTTGGTCTGTGGCGGCGCTGCACCAACAACCACTGCAGGAAATGACACTAAAACTGCTGAAGACACTGAGAACAACTTCCTGTTTTACCAGATGAAACAAGATGGAGATGTCAGATTTCTCTTTCATCTTTTAAAGATGAAAGAGAATTTACCCAGAATGCCCTGCACTGAAGTCCACTTCCTGACTTTCTTATGAAGCGGTGTCTGTATGCCTCCAAACCGAACCAGAGTTCACTTCAACCGAACCCAAGCTAACCAGAGTTAGCTTAGCATTCACTCTTCTCCAACCAAACTGGACTCTCTACGCAAATGGACAGAAATTATTGTCATAATTATAATTCAGCTGAAATTGTCCATTGGACTCAATGGAGCCCTCTGGTGGACTCTTCAAGGACTGCAGTTTGCAGGAGCAATATGGAATTAACCCATTTTTATCTTCATTTCTTGTTATTCTCTTTAAATCATATACTGTTTGTATAACAGAGAAAGAAAGAAATAATAAACCCGTCCAGGAAGTATTTCTTTTAGTAAATGTGTGAATTAGCTGACAGGGCAGATCTTAGTGCAGCGCCCCCACAGGCCAGGAGAGGAACAGGTTGGATTGACTCAGAGCCACAGCAGCTGCAGGTGGAGCTGATGGTGAAACTTTGGTCCCAAACGGAGTCCATGTGCAAAAACAGCTTCATTCTCAAACCGGTCAGGCATGCAGGAGGTTTTACTCACCCAAATCAAACTCATGGAGTTGTGTTGCTTCACCTGCCCAGGAAAAGAGAAGAAGGACCAATTAGTACAGAAAATGTGTCTTTTACTTTCTGATATGTTAACTAAACTTTAACTGCAAACTGTATGATCCTCTGATCCTTGCAGAAACATGTTTCCAGCAACATGTTTCTGCACCTGAATTTGTTCCAAGCCGATCAATGAAGAACTTGTTTGGTGTTTTGTCCATAGAAAATCACTGAAGGCTTCACAGGCCGACATTTTTCCACATAACTTAATAGCATGTTGGATTTAGCGCCGGTTAGCGCAGAGAGGTGGGCGGTGAAAGTTAAATTCTTTGGGTTTTTTCTGCTTCCATCCCTGCTCACGTCAGAGCATCATTTATTTAAGTTGTGTTGCTGTTTTTTCCGGCTTGCAGCCTCTGCTGGGTGAGTGAGGTGTAAAGAAGGGAAGCGTAGGAATCTGAGCGTGTTGCCAGAGCTTCAGCCGTTCATTCAGCTCTGTCTGCACGTCTCGGCTCTCACCCAGACGTGACTCAAATAACAACGAACCTCCTCTCCTTACGACCCACAACTGTAAAGATTGGGTGATTGATCGGCTCTTTAAGCGCTGAGGCTGATCCCAAATCTGACAACTCTGATGCAATTGTCAGTGTCAACAAGAAAGCGAGAGAAAAGCTGAGAAATCTTCTCTTTACGATGTCGGTGAGTTTAACAAGAAAACTCTGATATTTATGAGGCTGAATGTCATGAACCAAACCATAAACTCTGGATTCGGTTCCATATGAACAGCAAGCGGACCGGAGACAAAGCAGGAAGTGGATTACAGCGCAGGGCATTCTGGGTAAATGCAAACAAAACAAACACGCTAACCTAGCGTTAGCAGGAGAAATGGCTGACAGTTTTTAGCCAATAACAAGAGAGGAATCTACAATCACTAAAATCTGACCATTTTTATTTCCATTTGGTGTTTTCAGCTTTTCGATTGAATGAGTTGGTTTGTAAATAAGTGATTTGTATTTTATGAATCTATTGTGTAAAACAGATTCAGATTCAAAATCGGACCTGATTTTTGCTTTGACTTGTCACTAACATGCAGCAGGTAAAACTACAGGCCAAAAGTCTCTGGATGCTTAGAAAAATCTTATTTTCTGTTTACCAACATAAACAGACGGCCTCTGTGGTACAATCCTTGTTTTCTTTCAACCTCTGTCCCTCCAGTGTGTTTCTGTTTGCTAGGAATAATTGTGCTAATTATAATCCGCTGTTAATCAGGTTTTGACTCCTCTGGGTAGGTGGGAGCAAACAGCATCGCTGAACCGTGCATAAACTCCCCGTTTCTGTTTCTGCAGCTGGCGACGTGAGGCGGATTAAACCGGCTCCAGAGGTGCGTCGAAGCAATTAGGAAGACGCAGATGTTTGCCGACATCAGCTCAGGATAAAGATTTACATTTGAATGTTCATCTGATCTGCTTCTTTCCAAACAAATATTGTTTTCAACGTGTTGAAAAAAATGAGCCATTTTACCAATTTAGAAGAAACAATAAAGTGTTGGAGTTGGCAATAAAAGTAGAGGAAGATACTGACAAATGTATTTCCTGTAATTGCAAAGTTATTGTCGCTCTTTAGACGGCTTGCGGTCTTTCGCCGAAAGCAAAGAGCAGAAGATGGCGACCGAGGCAGACGTAAGCTTCTGGGCTTGAGCAGCATTTCAGATTTATATCCATTTCTTTCATACTTTGATTCTCAACCACTAAATTATTGGAAATGATCTCACAAGCTTGCAAAGATCAATTAATGTTACTTTAACTGACCTTTCTGCTGGAGCAGGTCAGTATAGAGCTTCAACACGAACAGGGAAAGAAACGCAAAGATGAAAAACATTTAGAAAAGGTTTGGCGTTCAGAACGCCATAAATAATTCAATTACACCAAAAAGCTGCATCCACTGCTGCTGCATCCACTGCTGCAGCAGCAGCAGTGGCTCCATTCGCTAACTCTGATCACGAATACACAGAAACTCATGCCTGTCGCCCAGATGCTGATCTGATACCTGGACCATCGTCTGACCCTGAAACGGCAGGCGGAAGAACAGAAACACAAACCAGAGTTTCCTTTGGCAACAATACAGGCAACGACTGCAGATTGCCAAGAGCACAACACATCATAGAGACTGCTGAGATAGAAGTTGCTGAGATAGAAGTTGCTGTGACAGAAGTTGCTGAGATAGAAGTTGCTGAGATAGAAGTTGCTGTGATAGAAGTTGCTGAGATAGAAGTTGCTGAGATAGAAGTTGCTGTGATAGAAGTTGCTGAGATAGAAGTTGCTGAGATAGAAGTTGCTGTGATAGAAGTTGCTGAGATAGAAGTTGCTGTGATAGAAGTTGCTGAGATAGAAGTTGCTGAGATAGAAGTTGGTGAGATAGAAGTTGCTGTGATAGAAGTTGCTGTGACAGAAGTTGCTGTGATAGAAGTCGGTGAGATAGAAGTTGCTGAGATAGAAGTTGCTGTGATAGAAGTTGCTGTGATAGAAGTTGCTGTGATAGAAGTTGCTGAGATAGAAGTTGGTGAGATAGAAGTTGCTGTGATAGAAGTTGCTGAGATAGAAGTTGCTGTGATAGAAGTTGCTGTGATAGAAGTTGGTGAGATAGAAGTTGCTGTGATAGAAGTTGCTGAGATAGAAGTTGCTGTGATAGAAGTTGCTGAGATAGAAGTTGGTGAGATAGAAGTTGCTGAGATAGAAGTTGCTGAGATAGAAGTTGCTGTGATAGAAGTTGCTGAGATAGAAGTTGGTGAGATAGAAGTTGCTGTGATAGAAGTTGCTGTGATAGAAGTTGCTGAGATAGAAGTTGCTGTGATAGAAGTTGCTGTGATAGAAGTTGCTGTGATAGAAGTTGCTGTGATAGAAGTTGCTGAGATAGAAGTTGGTGAGATAGAAGTTGCTGTGATAGAAGTTGCTGAGATAGAAGTTGCTGTGATAGAAGTTGCTGATAGAAGTTGCTGAGATAGAAGTTGCTGTGATAGAAGTTGCTGAGATAGAAGTTGGTGAGATAGAAGTTGCTGTGATAGAAGTTGCTGTGATAGAAGTTGGTGAGATAGAAGTTGCTGAGATAGAAGTTGCTGTGATAGAAGTTGCTGAGATAGAAGTTGCTGTGATAGAAGTTGCTGTGATAGAAGTTGCTAAGATAGAAGTTGCTGAGATAGAAGTTGCTGTGATAGAAGTTGCTGAGATAGAAGTTGGTGAGATAGAAGTTGCTGTGATAGAAGTTGCTGTGATAGAAGTTGCTGAGATAGAAGTTGCTGTGATAGAAGTTGCTGTGATAGAAGTTGCTGTGATAGAAGTTGCTGAGATAGAAGTTGGTGAGATAGAAGTTGCTGTGATAGAAGTTGCTGAGATAGAAGTTGCTGTGATAGAAGTTGCTGAGATAGAAGTTGCTGTGATAGAAGTTGCTGATAGAAGTTGCTGAGATAGAAGTTGCTGTGATAGAAGTTGCTGAGATAGAAGTTGGTGAGATAGAAGTTGCTGTGATAGAAGTTGCTGTGATAGAAGTTTGTGAGATAGAAGTTGCTGAGATAGAAGTTGCTGTGATAGAAGTTGCTGAGATAGAAGTTGCTGTGATAGAAGTTGCTGTGATAGAAGTTGCTGTGATAGAAGTTGCTGAGATAGAAGTTGGTGAGATAGAAGTTGCTGTGATAGAAGTTGCTGAGATAGAAGTTGCTGTGATAGAAGTTGCTGAGATAGAAGTTGCTGTGATAGAAGTTGCTGATAGAAGTTGCTGAGATAGAAGTTGCTGTGATAGAAGTTGGTGAGATAGAAGTTGCTGTGATAGAAGTTGCTGTGATAGAAGTTGGTGAGATAGAAGTTGCTGAGATAGAAGTTGCTGTGATAGAAGTTGCTGAGATAGAAGTTGCTGTGATAGAAGTTGCTGTGATAGAAGTTGCTGTGATAGAAGTTGCTGAGATAGAAGTTGGTGAGATAGAAGTTGCTGTGATAGAAGTTGCTGAGATAGAAGTTGCTGTGATAGAAGTTGCTGAGATAGAAGTTGCTGTGATAGAAGTTGCTGAGATAGAAGTTGCTGAGATAGAAGTTGCTGTGATAGAAGTTGCTGAGATAGAAGTTGCTGTGATAGAAGTTGCTGAGATAGAAGTTGCTGTGATAGAAGTTGCTGAGATAGAAGTTGCTGTGATAGAAGTTGCTGTGATCGAAGTTGCTGAGATAGAAGTTGGTGAGATAGAAGTTGCTGAGATAGAAGTTGCTGTGATAGAAGTTGCTGAGATAGAAGTTGCTGTGATAGAAGTTGCTGTGATAGAAGTTGCTAAGATAGAAGTTGCTGTGATAGAAGTTGCTGAGATAGAAGTTGCTGAGATAGAAGTTGCTGTGATAGAAGTTGCTGAGATAGAAGTTGCTGTGATAGAAGTTGCTGTGATAGAAGTTGTTGAGATAGAAGTTGGTGAGATAGAAGTTGCTGTGATAGAAGTTGCTGAGATAGAAGTTGCTGTGATAGAAGTTGCTGAGATAGAAGTTGCTGTGATAGAAGTTGCTGAGATAGAAGTTGCTGAGATAGAAGTTGCTGTGATAGAAGTTGCTGAGATAGAAGTTGCTGTGATAGAAGTTGCTGTGATAGAAGTTGCTGAGATAGAAGTTGGTGAGATAGAAGTTGGTGAGATAGAAGTTGCTGAGATAGAAGTTGCTGTGATAGAAGTTGCTGAGATAGAAGTTGCTGAGATAGAAGTTGCTGTGATAGAAGTTGCTGAGATAGAAGTTGCTGTGATAGAAGTTGCTGAGATAGAAGTTGCTGTGATAGAAGTTGCTGAGATAGAAGTTGCTGTGATAGAAGTTGCTGAGATAGAAGTTGCTGAGATAGAAGTTGCTGTGATAGAAGTTGCTGAGATAGAAGTTGCTGATAGAAGTTGCTGTGATAGAAGTTGCTGAGATAGAAGTTGCTGTGACAGAAGTTGCTGTGATAGAAGTTGGTGAGATAGAAGTTGCTGAGATAGAAGTTGCTGTGATAGAAGTTGCTGAGATAGAAGTTGCTGTG